GTATTACGATGCTTGAAAATTCTTTGCAAGCTGCAAAGAAAATAGTTTGCAATACGAACCTATTCTTTGCAAGCATTTTACAGTGCATGGCTAAGACACAACACTGTTTCGGGTTTGCATACCGAAGGGCCACCATGGCGCCTTACGTATGGAGCGAGTAGGCAAACCCAAATATACTATTGTGTCGTGGCTCTGACACGCGGCACATTCCTATGTGGATCATATTTCCGGATAAAATATCCAATATGATGCAATGTTAGAATATCCGACCGTGTAGATACAAGTAACATTCGCGAGTGGCAGCTCCTGCTTTTGCGCATTACCCACGCTAAAACTAAGACTTTCTTTTTCCATGGCAAGGGGCAAACCCCAAACCCTGATACGGCGAGACATTTAACGATTCCGAAGTGTTTTACATATGCCGTTTTGTTCAAAGAAACGTGACAGGTTATGGAAATTAATGGTCATGTACAAGATGTCCCAGGCCCGCTCGTCCTTTCTTGGATACACTGTACCGCAATGAGGCCCATAGTTGGTTGCCTTCTCGCTCCACGCCGTGAGGTGCCATGCTAACCGACGAGGCAAGCCAGCCCGCACTCCTGCATGCGGTACAGTATAAGTAAATAAGAGGACGGGACGGGGTATATGCGACACCATTACGACAAACAACATCAGAAACTAAGAATTGTTAACCGTTAATGGCCTCAACCTTATCAAGCCATGTAAACAAGGTATGGCCACATTCTGGATATGTTGTAGAAGTCCATAGGTGACTTGACAATATTGCAAGTGCAATTGCGTAATTCAAATAAATTGCCACATAATATTCGTTGTTACAAGAAATTCGTACTAAAGTTACCAGCTCACGTGGCCACCTCGTGCCAACGTAATTTGAACCTGAGAACTATTTGAATGAAAGGAACAAGGGTATCGTGCAGAAAATAATGGAAGTTGCAGTAACAAAAGGGTGAGGCACAAAAAGAATACACAAAGAAGAAAAATAGACTTAAGTATAGATAGCTAAAATGAGAAGAGTTTGAAGTAAATACGGCCGGTTCGCTTATGAATGTTTTTCGAGATAGTTGATGAACGAGGTTGCTCGAGGATACTTGAACAATAGAAAACCGAGAACGTAATAATGTGGGTGCTCACAGCCCAAAAACAGGTAAAGGATCGGCGAAGTAATTTAGATGACAAATACAAGTATCCTCAATTTCACTTAAAAACAAAGTGTTCAACCGTCCAACGCCAACACAAAATGTTCGTCTGCAAGATTAATGCTTTAAAGTGTTCAACCACAGATTTGCCACACACAGTGTGTCCAATCCGTGCGTGGAGGTGTTTAGCAGGCTAGTTGTACCCTACTGCAACTTACAAAGAAGTAATGCATTAGCAGTAGAACACTTTAAAGTATTAATCTTGCACATGCAGGTGTAAGGAAATTGAACACTTGATTTGTCAGTGTTCACATAGAATCCATAAAAAGTACAGGTGAGGTCAACACGTGAAAGTAAGCCCTACAAAGCACACAACCATGCAAGCAAAAGGCAGTGGTTGTCATGGAAATTTGAGAAATCAGGGAGAGGTTCAACCTACTTTAGTAATTATGAGCGCACACCTTCATTTTTATTAAATCCGATCTATTTAAACTATCAAAGTACACAGTTACCGTTTAATGGGCACTAATTAAGTTTTAAACACACAGAATATCTATATTATCGCAGCAAGAGGATAGGAGTTGGAACTTCGCTAAAAACATCTACGGACGATTGTGGATGATATCTGCGCTACTGGGAACGTAAAAAGGCTGCTACATCCTCGCTCGTCCTAAACAATTGATTAGTTAGTTAAGACAAGCGTAAATTAATTTAGATCAGGACGAAGCTGGTAACAAGGAAATACAAAAGCCGAGTAAAGCAGGTATTTGAAAGGAATTTTGATTGTGACAATTTATGAATACTCTGATGGATAGCTGATAATCAAACAGGAATCTAAATTGTGAAAACTAGTGAACAGCGCCCGCTGACCGCATTTGGTAATGTTTAGTGCGAGCAGAATTATTCCAAGAAAGAGCCAGACTATGGAAGTGATTGAAGGAGTGGATAAGAATACAATATTGTACATGTACACACTTAGTTACATTTAAATTGTAAATAAACAAACCCACAACAAACATGGGGGAAAGGAAGCAACTTGAAACTGTCACGTCAGACACGGCTCTGCAAGGTTTGACTGCACAGAATTGTAAACAGAAGCAAAAGCTAGTCGCCTTCCATAGTCACAGCGGTATTGATTGTGAATCTGCTGGGATTCAGGGTGTATGCAAGCAAATAGGGGCTTTAGACAACCTTGCCCACACGGGTCTCCGTAACCGTCTTCTCTGCACAGGCTTGGACTCTCCGCTGGTGGTGCGCTCCGAAAGATGACCGGGCCTGCCAGGACCCTCGTCCGCACGGTCCCTAAGTACGCAGGGGGAGTTTAGTCTGCGTCCTGGAGAGTGGTTGTTTAAAGAAAGAAACAGGAGGCACAAACAGGCGTAGGAAAACGGTAAATATTACTAAATCATTCTTGAAAACAACCCAAACGGACTTAAAACTTTTAGTAGGACACAGGACACTGGTTCATCAAGCTGCATAGTTTGAATAAAACTTAAATTCTAGACTTGACGCAAAGCTTGACAACCTTCACGCTAATTTTTTTTTACAAACACTCTATTTTGCTCAAGTTGTCTATTTTGAAAACACATGTAATTAATTTTAATTTGTCGCATATATTCAAGTTATAACTGAAAGAGCTATCCACAAACCGAATACAGCTTGATGAGAGCATGCGTGAAAACACAACGCAAATATATGTGCCGAGGGAAAGTATAGATGCATTGTATTATATACTTCTACAGACAGTAAGTTTTTTTCTCAAACAGTAAATTACTTCTTAACAGCTGAGGGAAAAAGGAGGAGTAAGAAACAATGCCGCAGGACTCCGAAATACCTGCTAGAGGTCAGGGCGTGTAACATGTCCTCCTACGAAAAGGAGTTTGTTCTAACACAATCTTAGGTGCCGACAATACGATTTAATTTCAAACTACAACTGACTGAAAATAACTAAAAATTCGAAGAAAAAAGGCTAATATCCTGCTCACGGGGGCTACGTATTACTTTCTCGGGATGTAGGAAATCAATATTTGGTTTAAACGATAACCGAGCAGAAATGTTTGTACACATATTATGTAACACAATTAGTGTCAGCAAACAATTGTCTTCAATATCCTTTTCCCTTTTCATTTGTATTATCAGCGTAATACGATGACCTAATACCTTAAATATTTTGTCAGTGTCCACCGAAAAACAGTTATTTGGACGAAGCATACGTTTCTTACGAATGTACAAGGTGTTATGGGTATTTACAGTATAATGCAATCACATATGTGAGCTACGGTGTACGAGCTTAAACGTGATTTTGGCATTTGCGACTACTGCATATAAAGACCATTTGTGTACACATCAAAGACCTGTGGCAGTTTTGAAACGTTCAACATAAAACAAAATATCAACCCCCCAAAAAATCGCAAAAGTTTTCAGAAAAAAAATATGTCAAAAGTACATGTTTTGGCTAAGTACTTGAGTCAATTATCTTGGCAAGTATAATCGTATACTACAACTTACTTAGTTTCGTCGATGAAAACAGCTTCTAATACTCTTGCGGCGTAGAGTAGATTACTTTGTAGAAGGTCTGCGGAGACCTGTCCCAGCTGCAGTTGGCGTAGAAGGCAGCGAAGCCTGACGATCCAAAGAAAAAGAAGGATTACTTTGCAGGCCTCTTTAACGATGCGTGAAGTTGCTAACGACGTCAGTCTACCATTACGACCACTTCAAAGAGTTCCGCAAGTAAAGGAGGGTTTAAAGGGGGCGAAAAAGCTGTCGTTCTACACCCCACCACCCTTTCTTTCTACCAAATGTGTGAACAGTGTCTTTGGAGACCCCATCCACAGAGCCACCCGGACCCGGCCACCGCCCCCTCGTCATTATGGCTCGCATTCCCATGCAAATGGGCCGCATACCTCGCCAGCTCCGCGCGGGGGCGCCACGTCATTTTTTGACGCCTTTCATAGGCAAGAGAGGAGGGGGACGGGGGCTTCCGGGGGCTGCTTGAGTAATGAGGGGGTCCCCGCAGAAGTATCACAAATTTGCGGACAATGATAAAACTTACCTAAATGCAGCCTTGTCGCAAGCGTCAGGAGTGTCCACAGCGGGTAAGCATTCTGTAGTTAAGTCCAAAGATTCGAGGTCTCCAGCCAATGAGTCGTCTGGGGGCGCCCCAGGTGGGCCAGGGGCGCCCCCACGTATCACGGTGGGACCCACCGGAGTGTTGTTCACAGCCTTTTTCGTGCTACTTCTTCGAACGATGGTCAGCGAGCCTTGTTCTGTAACAAACAAATGGAAAGCATATGTTAGTCACAAGCAAGAAGCAAGCCTTTAGCAGCCAACTCCCTACATTTTGCAACAGAGTACACACTTAGAAGTGAGCTAATAGCGGCTCGTTCACTTCTAAAGGTAGGCATTCAGTTTGCTCTTAGTGTGTGAATAGTCGTCTACAGATCTGCAGCTGATGATATATGCTGTCGCAATTTTTTTTCAGGATCAAGAATATCATCACATAAGAAGCCGTATATGTACAATAATTTTTAACGGTGTAGGGACACGTCTTCGTGTTAAACATTTGCTGATTGCAACGCTTCCCGCGATGCCACATTGCGTTGTATGTACTCCCTATCTCAAAGGCAGAACATATCAAGGCAAACTGAATGCAAGAGGGCCGACAGCAAGAGGGAGAGGAACAAGAGAGAAAAAATTACAGTCTGCGCAGTTAGTAAAAGTTGTCCTGAGTGTTCGCCTAAAAGTTTAAGCTAGCTGCTGCTCACGGTAGGCACTTGTTAGTCGAGGCAAACTAAAACACTAATTATAACAATGCAAATACCCATGAATACAGTACGCCGAAGTAATAAAACGGAACAAATTTTACCGAAGTATTATATGGCAAAAACTCATTACCCGATATTTGACGCTCCCCTCTGAAAATCGTGACCTCGAAACGCGGGCTTCACTTCTCGACTCTTTGCGGGAGTCATTAATCCAGCCAGAGAGAGGGTTCCTTTTGAGGCTTATTCAAGTTAGGGTGCGCTCTCTCTCGCCGCGGGACGGTGGAGACGCCGAATGACGAGAGCGATGCTGACGAGACTGAGTGATGACCAGGCGGCTTTCTGCCCTTGTCGCACTCCTATGCTGGATGAGAAAGAGGATGCAGTCGTGGATGGCCGAGTAGAGAAGGGAGGAGAAGAGAAAGCAGAGGGAGAGGAGAGGGGAGGGGAGAGGGATTTCGGAGGCATAACCGGCGAGTCAGCGGAATTTTGAGGACACAGCCGTCTTCACAGCAACGATTTGTCTCTTCTGGCAGAAAGCAAGTCACGCCAAGATACGATATTTATCGAATACAAAGGAAGTTACGGTTGTTGCACCAAAGGTTTTCACTCTGAAAGCCATTCTTCGACTCATTAAACTCCTTCTGCCCTTCCCCATCTCGGCAACCAGTTTATCGTTTTTCGGACCTAGTTTAGTATACTATTTTGAAACTCCAGGTATATTTTTTGTACTACATTACTTATTCGGGCACTTAGACTAAACCGCCAATCCACACGGTACAAACGAGCCCTGAGATTCCCAGGAGTTGCTCATTTTACAGGGGAGTTAAAAGAGTCCCAGGGGCTGCCCTGGAAATCTTCAATTTTCCCAGTTGATGTCCTGGATTTCCCAGTAGATCCCCTGGGAGAAATTGAATGCTTTCAAGGCATCCACAGAGGTTTCAACTCTCCTCGGAATTCCAGAACTCGTTTTTACCGTGCATTTTGCATCTTGTATTCAGCATTAAGTCTACTTTTTCATAATATCCGAGTAAAACCCTAATATTTTTCCCCCTTGCGGTTGAAAACTGACGTCATAGGGCCACCCACTGTAAGGCCCCCTGCTTGTTGCTTTACGATGAAATTCCTCCAAGAAGAGAGAGCGGGGGAGCGGGAGACAGAGGGAGGGCACAGTCCGCCAAGAATGAGCAGTCGGTATGACAGTCACGTACTCCACGCAAGTCCACGGACCTCCCTCAAGGCCTCGTGGGCTAACTGCCTGGCTGCGGAGCTGCGCGGCCCACAATACACATGCCCCTGATTTACGAGGGTGGTAGCCTCGGGGGGAACAGAATAATATGCAGCGCGATAATCCTTCAACCGGTTTGGAAGATACATAAGGCATGGCACCTAAAAGCCGAACTAAACCTAGCTTATTTTGCAGGCTTGAAAACATTATGTTGTCAAAGCCGAGATTTTTACAACGTGATGACAAGAGGTAAAAGTGGTATATACCAGCAGAACGGATGGGGAATCGGTTGTGCTTTTATGTCACTTATCTTGGCAACATAAATCGAAGGGAATGGCGCAGAGCGGTCCAAAAGGGAGGTAACAGGTCCTTATCCCCGACGGCTGTTACTTCCCAATTTTTTCACGGGTGTGGTGCTGAGATGGAAGGTCACTGGCAAGGAATTTGTCAGAAAAGGGAGCAGCATTGCAGGTGAGCATGATAAAATAGAAAATAGAGGAAAATACGGAAGGGAATGCAGGTGACGAGAGAGTGAAGGGCGGTGATGAAAACAAATAGGAGTCGAGCAGAGCTGGAAGGCGGGTGGGATACGAGAGCCAGAGAGCGAGAGGGAAATACAGAGGAGGAAAGAGAGAAATAAAGGGACAGATGAGGACAATGCTCGGCGAGGGGATCCCTCAATTTATTTTCTGAGCCGCGCTTTGCGACGCTGTCACGTGACTAGCTCGCTTTATTGTGCCCGTCGCTGCTGTAGCACGCCGGTTAATTTTACCAACTTTTTAAAGAACTCTTCCCCACCATATATCATCATACTTTCCACAAGTTTAAAGTGACTGTTACGGACGATTGTCAAGTCTAATCTTGAAAATCAATTTTCAAACAAAATGTAGGATACTATGAATGATGGTATGGAAGCAGATTGAGATTTTAGAGCAATAACAGTACGTCCAAAACGATTTTCAGTCAAAAATTAATCGTAGTACCGGGTGTTACTGACACAACAGTGATGCATTTCCTAAGGCCCTGTCAGGCGGCCCGATAGCTTAGGCCTTACATCAGAAGTAAGTGTTACGCCGAGTTCGGCCCGATGAAAAGAATTAACATTAACCCTAGTGACCTTCACGATCCTTTGTTGAATCGTGTTTTAAAAAAGTTTGCGATGTACTCACGTGCAAGCTGGCCGTTGCGGTCCGGGGGTGGCGTCCCCGCTTGGTCTGGGGTCGCGGGGGCGGGCTGGTCGTCATCGTATTGCCCCGCGCCGCCCCCGCCGCCCCCTGGTCCTGCGCCCGCCACCGCCAGCCCCGCCACCCCCGCCACGGGCAAGGGCTGACCGCTCAAGCTCCGGCGGTCCGGAGGGCTCGCCACTGCAACAAGGGAAACGGAAGAGAAAAATAAAACAACGGCAGGAGAAAGAACGGCGGCGATGGTGAGGGGGGGGGAGGGTCGCAAATGGGGGCCTTCCTGACATCAGCGCGGCGCGCCATTACGTTGAGGCGTCCCTTGGCCGTATTCCACGCCGCGGCTCCGGGCCATGTCGGGCCGTGCGGCACGTGTTGGGGGCGGCGAACAGAACAGTGTCCCGGCGGACTGCGCCAGAGGAGAGCGCTCTCTGTGGCTCCCGCCGCTCCACACCGCGCCGCTCCCCGCGGGTCCGGCAGCAGCGCGGCCATGGCGCGGCGGTCGTCACAAACTTTGCGCCCAGCAGCTGTGTGCATTGACAACACGACTGGCCCCGACTGACCCACAGGACGGACGCCACCGCCGCCCGCGCGCCACTTCTGGCTGCAGGATTAGCCTCTGCAAGTTGTGTGTGTCAACGCCAAAGGGTTCGGTCGGTGGGAGCACGGACAACTGTTGCCAGCTTAGCCCCTGGGCCACCGGGGACACCGTGGTGGGCGGGACAAAAGCCCTAGAGGTGGCGCCGTCCATGGACAAAGTCCCCCTCGTCGAAGCTTCGCCAAGGCTAGCGCGCCCTCCGTCCAGAATCACAAGATGTATTGAATGCGCCGCGTTCGATCCGACGCGATGCTGATGAGATTGCCGCAGGGCTCTCCTCACTCCGCGAACCTGCCGGCCCAGCAGCAATGCAGCAGCAGCAATAACAACAGCAGCGGTGCCGGTAGTTTCATCGTGTCGAACAACAAGTCTCGATAAAGGGAACGTTATCGGAGGCTGGGTCACCCACGTCGTGTGCAGTGCGTGGGTCGTTACGAGATTACGAGCAGTGGCCTCTTCGTGTGCAAACTGTCAATCCGAGGTGTCGAGGCGATATACTTCCGACAGGTACGCATTGACAATAAGAAAGGACCTTAGGCTGTCACATCTCCCATAAGCACCTTGTGTTTATGGTGGGCGCCAGCGCCCTTTTTACTTTCATGTTCTCACCCTATTGATTTCTCGGTGAGCCGCTGGGGGGTTGAGGCGGGGATGGGAGAGGTGCCCTTTGGGCTGCAGGGCACCATGAGGGTAGTGAGTCTGGCCTGGCCCGCTCGACCTCGCACACATGCGGCCCAGGTCCCGCCACGCCCCGCCCCGCTCCGCCACTCCCCGCCCTGCCATGCCCCGACCCGACCCACCACTCCGCTGGAATAAAACAGTCCGGACGCGACATAGTCCCCGCCATAACGGGGGCAGAAAAAGTTCCAACCCCGATTCTCTGAAGAAAAAAATATTTCCCCCTACCACGAAAAGATTTTTGGAAATCTCTTCGACCCAATCCTCCGTCTTTTCCTCTCTCTCTCTCCTATCAGAGCAGCGGGGTGACTCGGTACCTGTCCAAAGCCATTCCCCCACTGCGACGAGCAATCCTTTGAGGAAGCGGCGTAAAGCGCGTAGGCCTATAAAGAAGAGCCTCGCCCGCCCCAGTCGAGGGGCTTCTGCCGCCCCCAGGGGGTGGGGGGATAGAGCAGGCCGACTACCGCACCACGCCCTCATTGGAGGGTGTCTAATTCCTTTCCACCACCTTCAAGGGGCCTCTCGACGGCGTGGAGAGATACCCGTCTATCGGATCCACCCCGTTTTATCGACATCTTCATCCCCATCCAGTTTAAGTGCGTCGCCCGATCTGGTCGCGCACGCACATCCCCGACACGGCCGCCTCTGCCGCTCCCCCAGGCTCTGCAATAAGTCACACCCTAAGGGTGTTCCCGTACGTCGCGCTACGGCCACTGCTAAGGGCAGAACTAGTGTGTGTGTGTGTGTCTGTGTTTTCGCGCGTGAGCCGGTGACGGACGTGCGAGAGCCGGGGCTCTGGACTCTGAGGTGAGGGACAACACCCAGCTCTGCTCCGCCACGCCGCTTCGCGCCGCGCCGTTCTGAAATAATGATAAGGACGGGACTGAGACGCGCGGCTTCCTGCCGCTGAGAGGTGCAACTTTGCGCGCACCACCACCAAACTTAAGCTGCTTTTCTTCTTTTCTCTCGTGGGGCGTGCCTACCCCCGCTCACCGCACACCGGCGCAAGAGGAAACCCTGCCGAACGGGTGAGCCAAAAGGTTTTAATCAGTCGGATAAAAAGTGCTGGTCGTTTTTGTATTCCAGGTAGGAGGGCCACGAGTGAGTGCCCCAGCACGGTGTGAAATACAGATTCAACTTTTCAACGGGAACTCTTTGAACGACTATGAAGCCTCGGCATACACTGAAGGTAGTAAGCAATACGAGCATCGGCAACGCAACCGGACGAAAGGTTTTTATAGGTTAACATTCGTTAATTTGGGAGGTACAATAGTTATGGGTGTGTCTATCAAAATCGTATGACCACTGTACCAATACTGTGTCCATCATCCAATCCGAATGACGACCGCCAATAACATAATAAACCGAGTGATGAAGGATGTTTATAGCATAACGCCAACGCGTGCATGGTTTTGCTCCGCCAGTGCCGACGAAGAAATGGGAACGGAGGATACAAAGGCGAAAGGAAAGAAATATGATGAATAACCAAAGGGGCTAAAAAAAATAAAGACGCGGCCTTTCCATAACCATTTTTCTTTTCATTTTCGCGCGCAGCAGAGTTGTACGGTACGAGCTGTAGGCGAGACAACATGGGAAAAATGGGGAGAAGAGAAATGCGTGTGGCAGCAGGAGCAGCGCGTAGGATGGATAGGGAGATGGAACGAGTCAGTGATGTGGCGCTGGGGACCCAGCTTTAAATCCCTTAGGGAAAATAACTATGGATTTAGTTTTCCTGATGGAAATTTTCCATTCAGGATTTTACCATTTCCCAGTGAGGAATTGAAACACTTTTCTATCTGGATTTTCATTTTCCATACTTCCGTTTTCCATACTTTCGATTTCCATAGAAAATAAAATCCCAGACCGCTCTGGAATCCGTATGGAGTGTGAAGCACAACTGGCACCAAGTGCCACATTTCGTAAATAACAATGTGCCTATGTGAAATTTCGCTAAAAACAAAGAATATGGTGTTATTTTTGCAATCCGGCCATTCGTTTAGAAGATACAGCAGAGTTGAAAAACTCAGTTTTTGCTTTTTTCACGACAATATAGTGGCAACAGTACACTCTTTTCAGATCTTCAATAAGATTACCTCTATCACACTTTAAAAAAAAGTTATAGATGTATCTGAATTTCCATTATGGAAATTTTAGAAAATCCAGTATGGGAAAAATATCCTTTAAGGAAATAAAATCTTCTAGATATTTCCAGACGTAATCCACACTGGAAACGCAAGTGTGTGAATGTCGCTCACCTGCAGGTGTGTGAATATCCATTCGTACACTTAGAGGGGTAAAGGTGTGAATTTTTCCGTGAAAATTCACACGTTTACCCCCGTAAGTGTGTGAATGGATATTCACACACCTACAGGTGAGCGACATTCACACACTTGCGTTTCCAGTGCATAAAATGAAAAGTCAAGATTTTTTTCCAGAGAGGAAAAAATATTTTCCTTAAAGAAAGTGACAAATCCAGAGTGACACTGAAATTTCTATCGGGAAAATTAAATCCAGATACGTTTTCTTTAAGGGATTTAAAGCTGGGGAGCGCCCGGCAGGTAGGCAGCCCGTCCGCAGGCCCGGCCACATATAGGCCTACGCGCGCCCCCACACACCCTTTACGCCATAGCTACTGTCTCGCTCACAGCTTTCATCGGCTCCTCTGCCGCAGAGCAAAAGAGAAACTTGCGGTTTACTATCGACGACGCACAAAACTCTGGAGATCCTAAATCCTCATGTTGCAATCAAGCACCGCAGTTGAACAGTTGAATTTCCAGAAAAGTTTTACGTACAAAATAAGGCACGCAGAGTAAGCAGCGAAAGATGCAGTGTGTATCCTGCTTCCACGAATCAAGTGCCGGTACAGCACTGCCACGACTGTGTATGTTATGCCTGTACAACTACCGAACCGATGGGAAGTCAAACGCCAAGCCCCCGAGGAAGTGGAGGGTGGTGATGCAAGCAGCGCAATTGTGTGGTCGTGGTGTGTGTACGTGGAAAGGGGGGTGTTGCCGCAGGCTGCGCGCTGCCTGAACCACCTGTTCGTGCCGTGCGGTGCGTCGTTTTATCTTATTTTGCGCCCTCACCGGCAAGCACCGCCGCCCCCGCCCGCCAGCAGCAAGCCTCTTATTTCTCTTTGCATCATCCCAACTATTACCACGAGGCGCTCTCTGGCGGGGCGGGGGGTGCGGCAACCGCAGAGTATACGCGCGCAGCAGCAGCGGCGGGGTGGTGGTAGGGTTTGCCTCTGACCCGCATCATTGGAGTGACGGGCCGGCGACGACAAGATTCCCTCCTACTTTACAGAAATTATTATTTCCCTTCGTGTATAATGATAAAAGCACGAAACGCCACGGGGCAAAGTTGGAGGGAGCGACTTTTATCCCTGCTGATGACGCCTCGCCTCGCCGGGGAGACACAACAGCGGCCGCAATGGCTTTAAAAAGATTTGCAGCGACGTTTCGAAACAGTGCGCCAGCTTGCCGTCACCGAGTTGCCATGACTACCGGCATCCCTCGCCTTGTGCCCCACTTCCCCCCACCCGTGGCCGCTTCAAGGACCTAGCGGAGGTGACTTCCGTTTCCCAGCAGAGCTCAGTCCGTACTGAGGCGCGAAATTTCTGTTTACACCGCAAAGCAAAAGGCAGGCGGCGCCACGCGCATATTGTAGCGTCTTCACAAAGGATATAACATTTTCAGCCGGCGCCAAACATTTTTCGTCTTCTTTTGTGGGATAAGGAACATGGCTTCCGTGAGGCCCCCTTTTCTTTTTCTCCACCCCCAACCCTCTTTCTCTATCTCTCTCCGGGTCCAACTCCCCCCTTCCCGCCGCTCTCCGCTTCCCCTCTCGTCCGCAGTGCATCGCGATGCACACCAACACATACACACTTACGTTTCAAGGCCTTTCGGTG